TAGCAGAATCTCAATATCTTCATGATTGAAACCAAAAAGCCACAACTTTACTTCTTTTTGAAATACAAATAGACTTCTAATAATTTGGAGCTCGTTGGGGAGTTTGTTAAAAAGTTTACATGATAATCTGGTGTAGAAGCTGCGGAAAAGCGTGGTGCGAAAGCCAGGAACTGAAACATGAGAAAAGGAGTTGCTTCTTAAACTATAGGGTATTATATAGGAATTCGTATGTATCCGCTCCGTAAAAAAAAATTTTAAAACTTTAAAATAGTACATGTGTCGCACGGGAAGAATATTCAGTTTTTTAAACAGATGCATAGAATGCGCTAGACGGTCAGCGTTACACATTCTTCGGATGAGACACTTCTGCAAAATTAATATCGGACGGATCTTACCAGTATATGCACTACCCCAACAACTTATCCCGTATTGTAGTTTAGAGTGCATTAGTCCATGATACACGGTTCTTAGTATTCTATTTGAGCACATTTTTTTTTAGATAATAGAAAGAACGAACAGTTGATAACAAATATTGCTTCATGGCGGAGATATGTGATGACCAACTTAAATTTTGGTCAATTATAACCCCTAAATACTTGAAGTTAGAAACAATTTCGACGACAAAGCATTTACTGTCACAAATTGTTTTCTCGTCAAAAGTAGCTATAGATTTTTGCTGAACACATTTATTGCTGCATAACTTGTGCCGCATGGGCATGAAAAACAAGTTCATTACTAGGTATTTCCTTGCCACACACGTTAAACTACAATAATTTTGTTTTGCTGCTTACCACGAGATTATGACTAGCAAACCAAGATCTTAACAAATGAACATCGTGGTTGATATCAACAAAGAGATTAAATGCATTTTTCGATCCATATGCAATCGCAAGGTTACCAGCAAAAGCTGTAACTTTTCCCATAAAAGGCAGCGAAAATATTGAATTGATATATATCAAAAACAAAACTGGTCCAAGAACCGATCCCTGGGGAACACCTAAGGTTATGCATCTAGTTGTGCTGAGATTATTGTGAATTTTTACTCTTTGAATTATATTTGATAAGTAAGACTTAAACCAATCGAGAATGGTCCCACGAAAACCTGCGGAATTAAGCTTGCTCAGTAGAATATCATGGTCAACCATGTCAAATGCTTTCGTTATATCCACAAAAAGACTAGCACAGCTGTTTTCATAAATTTTCTTATAATTAAAGGAACAAAAGGTTGAAAGGCCTGATCTAAACCCGAATTGCATAGGACTTAAGTAATTAATTCTATTTAAATAGGCTAAAACCCTACTTTTCACAGTTTTCTCAAAAACCTTTGAGATTGAGGATAGTAAAGAGGTAGGTCTATAGTTGTTTTTGTCTTTTCTATTTCCTTTTTTGAAGAGTGGTATCACAGTTGCACATTTTAAGTCATCTGGAAAGACTCCAGATACTATACTGAGATTGAATAAATGCGTCAAGATGTCTACAACGTAAAAGGATATATTTTTTAACGTATTATTCGATATGTTATCACTATCACTTGAACCAGATTTGTTTAAAGATTTAACTATGTTAAGTATTTCCGAACTTGAAACGGGTTCAAAGAAAAAACTATTTCCAGGAGGTTGGTATTCAGAGTGTATTAGTCCATCAGCATTTGTTGTACACATACACTGAGATAATTTGCTTTTTGGTGCGGAAGCTGATCCTACATTTGCAAAAAAATCGTTAAGCTCATTAGCAACATCTAAGGAATCTGAAATATCCTCGCCGCCAACGTTCAGCACAATCGAGTAAACTTTATCCTTGGAATTTCGATGAATGATGTCGTTTACCACGCTCCATTCTTTTTTGGGGTTACCTTGTGCAGCTAATATTAAATTTTGATAGTATCTATCGCGACTAGAACGAATTTCTCTATTCAGCCTGTTGGTTAAACGATGCACACGTTTCAGATATTTAGCGTTTGTCGGATGCCTGTTGCACTTTTTCCGTAATTTATTTTTCACTTTGATTTTTTTAATTAAATTGTGAGTTACCCAGGGTTTAAGAATTACATCGGTTTTTTGTTTTTAGAAACAGAGAAGCTTGACTGGTTTATGTGTTCTGTGAGTATGTTTATAAATAAATTATACGCCTTACTTACGTCCGTTTCATCGTAAACCTTTTCCCACTTCTCAAGGCGAAGTGCTTCAGTGAGAACACTGACATCGATTTCCTTGGTATCTGATAACTTATTGCTAATTTTATCTCACTTAATATTCAAATTACTAATCTGAAGACCAACCAAGCAATGATCAGAGACTCCGAAATCCAGATTTATACCTGCAAACATGGTAGAATCCATATTACTCAAGCGACCATACACGTGGTCTCTACAGGTCCCTGAATCGGGCCGAGTAGTGTCATTAATGAAAGAAAGTAAACCATTGTTCGCTATAAGTGTCAGATAGTTATCTAGTGTAATGTTGGCACCCAATAAATCAAAATTGAAATCTCTTTAAAAAATTCAATGTCGGCAGGCTTTATGTTAACACATTTGCAGTGAAAATAGTTTTTACAGTCAGAACAATCAATTTTGTTAGCATTATTGCGTTCTATTCTTTCTTTACATATTAAACAGTTCATTTTTCCAAATATTTAGTTTGAAAATCACGTATAATTCACAACCAAAGTGAGCGCCCCACGTCCACTTGCTTACACGACCAATGAATATTCACACGTATTCGCCTGTTAGCGTTCCAAACAGTGTTTTTAGGTTTTTCCTACTTAGCATGAGCGTAGATTGAGCTCTTTCGCTCTTTTGTCACTGAAGCAAAGGAACTTCTTGGAGTGATGGTGACCCTCTAACTTGCTCCAATTGCTAGCAGTATAGGATACTGCCCGCTTGTTGTTTTGTTTGCCCCTTTTTTAGCTTGGTCCGACAAATTAAAATAAGTTTATTTGTCCTAAGTAGCATGAGTGCCTGCGCTGCTGATTCCTCTTGTTTTGCCACATGGAGGGGTGTAAGACTGAGTAGGGCTTCCATACCTGATATGGGTGTTGGTTTCATAGTCACCATTACATACAGTAATGCAAGTCGTTGGATCTTGCACAACGATTTCGTTACTTTGTTGATAATAGAGTTGAGATGTGATTCCCAGGTGAGTTTTACATCAAGCGTTATGCCTAGATATTTGACCTCTGCCTTTAGGGGAATTACAGTCCCATTTATGTTTAGATCAGGAAAGCATAGCTTCCTTTTTCTAGTGAAACGGATGATTGTAGTTTTTTTTTAGATTTATGGACAGTTCCTCTTTCCTAAAGCAATTGTAAGTTATGTTTAAGGCGTCCTGCATCAAGTCCCGAATGGTCTTTTCGTGGTCATATTTTATCGCGATTGCTATATCATCAGCGTACCATATGGTTTTATATTCTTTTCCATTGAGGACTTGAATTTGTTCATTCGATAGTTCCTAAGTTCGCTTTGATTGTCCTCTGGGTAAGCATATTGCCGATCCAATTCACAATTTTGGGCTGTGCATTGTCAAAGGCACCCTTATTGTCCATGAATGAACAGATGGTAATACCCTTTGATGCAAAAGCCTTTTATATTACACCTACGGTAGAGTGAAGAACCGTACACAGAGAAAAAAATTTTAGAATTAAAAAAAAACGTGCTAAATAAAAAAAAAAATACGCATATGAAAGAGCACCAACCCAACTCGTTTTAAATTTGAGTATGTACGCTATAAAATATGTCATTGTGAAGTGAACAGATGCTTTTTCGTAATTAAGAAAGAAACAAAATTTGATTTTATGTTCCGCCCTCTGATGGTAATTGAACCCGGACCCTCTTGGCAGCGAGCAATTGTATCAAGCGTCTTTGCACACTCAGCTACAGCCATACATGTAAATGTGGCTTCAAATGTTGAGTTTGAATCAACATCACAGCGCGCGATTAGTGCATTATCCCTGCAGGAAATGTATCTAACTGTAAACTAACTATATTTCTATGGCGATGGCCGCGAAATAGTCAAGGGTGGTTTACCTCTGCATTAGATGTAGTCAATGGTAGTTACCTCTGCATTTGATTTAACTATCTTGTAACTAACTACTTTTGGACATAAAATATCAATAGGAAAAACAAAATATTTTTTTGAATTTTTTTTATTTGTTTAATTTTATTTTATCACATTTTATATTTGTTTCCATATTCTGCTGCAGGTGGTCCCATGTTCGAACTCCGTCAGACATAACTTCAAAATGAGAATATGAAATTTCGATCTTCTTTTTATTTGTCCTCAATTCGAAAAAGTATTTGCGAAGTGCAGGATATTTAAATAGAAATGCGTTTAGGCAAAACAATCTCCTTCATTACGCCTGCATTACTTGTAAACTAGTTTCCAGTTAGCTTTTTGTAGCTAACCACAAGTTGTATATTTTATAGATATCCCGAAAAAAAGCTAACTACAAGTGGGATATTTTTTATCAATTGATAATTTTTTCTGCAGGGATGTCATACTATGTATGTGTTTTTTTTTTTTTTTTTGAGGAGGAAGCATCGGAAGCCTAACCCCGTCAGTGTGGAACTTTAACATAGAAAGTTCGTTTCTAAGTCTGTTATCGTCTGTTTACGTGCATTTTTCGCCGCTACATCTCCTTGCCGGCTCACACCCTTTCTTGGCGTTCGCGTGTACGCCTTGCCTGCTCGCTGTTGCGGAGCTGTGACAGCCATATGCTGTACCTCGTTCCATGCGTGGTTGCTCCTCTGCATCAGTGGCACCAGATTGTCTGGTATAAACTACAGCCAAGGCTATCTTCCACATGCTTGTTTAACTTTCGGAAGCGGGAACATACGAAAAGCACATGTTCTGCATCTTCGGGGACTGCTGGTTCGCACTGCTTGCAATATGGGGTCTCTTCATGCACAAATCGGTGAAGGTAGCTTTGAAACAGCCGTGGCCACTGAGAATTTGGGTAAGATAATAGTCAACTTCCCGTGCTTTCTCTCGAGTCATGCTTCGACTCTAGGGATGAGTCGATGGGTCCACCTGCCCTTTGCTGCGCTGTCCCATCGTGTCTGCCACTGGGCTATGCTGCGTTGCTTTGCTGTTGATCTGTACGCGCTCACATGATGTTGGTTGTGTTTCGCGGTTCTCGCTCAACATATCTCCTGAGCTAGCAGGTCGAGTGGGCACAGGCCAGCTATGATGAGTGCCGCGTCTTCCGATACCGTTCTGAATGCAAAGCAGACTCTAAGAGCACACAATCGGTACGTGGAGTTTGAACTTCGTGCATATGAGGTGTACTTTAATGCGTTGCACCAAACTGTCGCGCCATACAGGAGGATAGACCTCACCACCCCAGCTAGCACCTGTCTTGCCTGCTGTCTTGATCAGCCGATGTTGGCCATTATTCTTGACAGGGCTATCGTCGCAGTCGCAGCTTTTTTACTCGCGTACTCCAAGTGGTCGCGAAAGCTAAGTCGATGATACACCAAAACCCCTAAGTACTTTACATATGGCTTGGACTCTATGATACTGTCGCCAACTTTAAGCACCACCTTTTCTACCTTCTTACGGCTGCTGATGAGTACGGCTTCCGTCTTATGCGCAGCCAGCTTTAGATTCTTCGCGCTTAGCCATTCCTGGGCCGCTGATATCGCATGTTCCGCAATGCTTACCACTTCCGTGAGCGTTTTTGCAGTTACAGCGATAGATATATCGTCCGAAAAGCTAATGAATGAAGCACTATCATGTACCTTGAGCCGCAAAATGCCGACATACATAATGTTCCACAAAAGGGGCCCTAACACGGATCCTTGTGGTACACCAGCTGAGACTCCGTAGTCGACGGCTCCTAAGTCGCTGTCGTAGCGCAGAACTCTATCCGACAGATAACTGGAGATGATGCGTTGCAGGCAGCAAGGTACTTGCAGTGTGCGTACTATGTATGTTGTATGTATGTATGTGTTGTCACCGCTGTGAATGCTTTGTATACATATAATTTCTTAATTACATATGAAAAAGCATCCAGGACGTTCAAAACGCCATCCGTGCAGTGAAAAATGCTTCATTTTAATACTGAATTGAATATTTCCATTATACGTAGTGCATGTATAATGGAAAAATCAATTTTTTTATTACTTTTCACTTGATTTAAATACGAACATTTTTAAACGGTAATCAAATACAAAATTTTAATTTTTACAACACCACAAGTAGGGTATTTACAATTTATGCATCCGTGCCAAGTTTCAATTCCCCAGAGTAGTTGGTTTAAGAGATATATTGGCGCCCTCAAAAAAGCGGTTTCAACTTTTTTTTGTGACGCATATATATGTATGTGTAGATATCCATCATTCTCCCACCGCATAAGAACGTTAGGAATATCCCGACCTCAGCGCATCCTATCGTGTAATGTTTTGGTCCAAATATTCCTTTTCAATTGGCTAACAAATGTTCTAATTATCAGCCAAATCTGCACCTAAATTCAGTTTTTAGGAATATCCCGACCCCAGCGCCACCTAGCGATAAAATTTTTTGTCAAAATATTTCCCTTCAAGGTGCTGACATATGTTCCAAATATGAACGAAATCGGTCCAGCAGTTTAGTAGTTTAGTGACATTCAATATACGGAAAACTCTATGAAATTGTGAAATCGTGACGTCTCAGATTTCTTCATTTTTCGGCAACAACAACAAAAAACTTAAAATTTTTTAAAATCAAAAAACCTTCCACACGGAAGGTTCAAAAATGTGCTTTTTACAGAATTGAAATCGGTTCAGCGGTTTGGTCAGGCATTGCGGTCATTCGAAAAACATTTCATTTTTATATATATAGACAGATTAATAAATAACCGCTATCGTTCCCGGGGTGGCCTCTGCTTTTCTATGCAAGTTTGGTTTGTCTTAAAACATTACACGCCAACGCACTATGTATAGGCATGCATCTTTATAGCGAACTATAATTTTTATTAATTGCCTATTAGTAAATAATTCATCTGTGGGGTAAACTAAATGAATGTCAAGCAAAAAAGCGTTCTTTCCAATGGAAATTAATACACAATGACAGAATAGCGAAAAACTACGACAGAGAGCGCTCATAAATCGCGCAAGTGACTACTTTAGTAACTCTCGGTAGTGCAGAGAGAGCCGATGGTGACTACCGCCTAAGATATTGCCTTTTAAAAGTAATCGATGAAATACACTGCAAGTAGTCGGTCGGTAATTGACGGCGTTTATCAGGTAGCTACCGATTCATCAGTCCTGTAGTCACTCCCCGGTACCGCAGGGCGAGTACACATTTTTGCATAGGCACACTCATTCCGACAAACAGTCACGAAGACATGAATGAATCAGAACCCAAATTGCCAAACGACTTCATATCGAGGTCGTTTTTGACTCATTCTAGTGAACAACTTGTTCGCCTACGGTTCGCCATCGGATGAAAAGCATAGTTCGCCGACGGGCTGCAAAAACGACTCGCCAGCGGGCCGCAAAAACGATGCACCAGCGAACTGCAAAACTATGCTAAAAAGTATGCGGTACTACAAAACTAAAAATTAATTTGTTATTTGTTTTAATGTACTTATTAAATAATTAGAAAATTAAGGGTAATATTCGAAAACATTTATAAAATGTAAATTCAAATTTTAATACATTACGTTAGTACTACACTTCCTTAAACAAAATTAAAAATTCACCACATTTTGACAAGTTTTAACAAATAATTTTTTCTTATTAAATTTTGGCTATTTTTAGAAAGACTTAGATTATTCTTTAACCAATCACATAAATCCAGTTTAAAATTGTGTGCAAGCTTCCTAAAAATTTCAAACTTTTCATTCTTAATTAAAGGAAAATATATGGAAAAGTTTTATGGCATTCAATTTTAGTATAACTGAGTACAAATTTTCTATGGAAAATATTAATTCGATTTGACGTCGCCTCGAGTTCCCCCATATGATTTCACCAGACCGACGTCGAGTTGAATTCGATGCGATGAGAAAATATGTGGTCGGAACGACGTTGCGTTTTGTATTGAAAAAAAAAAACCAATTCTTTTCGCCGACGTTTCGAGTTCACCCAGACGACTTCGATTCGAACTCGTTTCCGTTCTGTGGCAAATTGGGAAGTTGTTTTGCTTGCATTGCCTGAGTTGTATTTGTGTATATGTACATTTACAAGTGAAGACCAGCACAGGAAATGCATCCACAATCCGAATTTTGTTTTGAACGTATATTTAATTTCCACCCTCTAGCAATAAGGGATGATACTTGTAAAGGTGATAGAAGCGACAACAGAATAAAGGTAAACTTTTTTGCGAAGTGAATCAAATTTGAGATATATTGGGAAAATGTAAAGTTACTTCCGTCATTCAATTGGCGCGTCAAGCGCTAAGAAACTGTCTATAGCAGATGGAATTTTCAGTCTTGACACCGCGTTACGTGTTGAAACTGGGTGCAGAATACAAGAAACAAGAAAGAGGTGAAAAACTTAAAGAACTAAACGATAATCAAAACGAGAGGAAATGAGGAAACGTCAAAAATTACGCCGCGTTTATTTAGGTATAGCGCACCCTGACACTCGTTGGCGCTAGAAAAAGCAACGCTTATCGCTTCAATTTAGGGACGGCAGGGGTTCCATAAATTTCGTTGCTTGCATAGAAAAGAGCTTTAAATTTTACAAACAGCTGAGAAGGTTTGATGATGCGTTGTATGTGTGTGCATGTGGGTTGATAGGAGAAGTACAAAGTATTTGTAAAAATGTCTAAATATAATTGGGCAGTTACAAACATTGTATCACTTTGAATTTGAAAGAGCGAAAATTGTATAAAGTCTATGCCGACGTTTTCTGAATTAGATAAAGGAAAATAAAGTTAAAGGGAAACAGTTGACAAACAAATTGGCTTACATGTTCATTGGTAGCCCGATGGAAAGCAAATGCGCTGGCCGCGCAGTGCGAAAATTAGTCTCCTGGGTGTGATTTCATCAAAACAAAAGGAGGAGTTGAAGAGAAAAGTTAGTCGGAGTATACATACCATTGTTAGAGTAAAAGCGCCGCTAGATTTCCCGACGGTACATTGGTTTTAAGCTTAACATCTTAACCGTTAAGTACTGTTGTTGGTCTCTCAGACCTCGACAAAATCTTTAGATTAACATAAAGTTTTCGTTTACGCGCCCATAACTTTCATACTACGAATAGCCTTTACCGAGTCAGCAATGAGTTAATTCCGGTATCGAGCAAATGTGTTCGGTAGTAATCGCATTTTAATTACTTGCGCGTGGTCTGTGTGACCAACAACAGTATTGACTTAACTATTTTTCGATTGTTTTTTAATATATCCTACCAATCAAACCATATCTCTCAGGGATTTGGCAGGAATTTCGAGCAGTACTAATATTTGTAATAACTGCTGTAACTTAAAAAAAAAAATATTGTAAATTTTTAACAATTTTATCTTCTCTGAGTTTACACGATATGCTTAGAAAAAGCCAATAAAATTTCCTTACTAAAAACATTCCCTAGTTTCCAGTCATTGTGAAAGCTGCTAAATTTTTTTCTCTTGTTAAATTGAAGAATTTTTATTTTAAAGCAGTATTTTTAGTTTTAAGTGAATACATTTTTGCAATTTTTTTTGTTTTAACAGGAAGGTATTGATGATAAAATTTAAATTAAATTTGGGAGAAATAAAAAAATTTTCGAAGCTTTTATATTTTTGTAAAGTGAAAAGGGTAGGTAATTATTTCACTAAAAACAGTTTTTGGTGAAACGATCTACATATATATTTATTACTTAACAATAAAATTTGTGTGGTCTCACAGACCAACATCAGTAGTTATGCGACTTTTTTAAGCACAGTAGTTAAGGGTTAAAATATTTTACAGAAGGAAGAAAACTAATTTAAAAAGTTGAAGTTTTACAAAATTTCTTTATCAAAGTCCTTTGGGAATATGAAACTTATGTTTGAATATGCATTTTCATATGAATTTAAAAAAGATTTTGAAGTTAGGAAGTAAAAAATCTGGAAACTATGGAAACTACTATTTTATGTAAATTATTTTGAAAAACGTTTAAAAAGTGGTTCGTACTCAGCACTGATGAATAAACTTATTATGAATCTAAGCATACAATCATAGTACATGCCATTTCAAGCCTTAAGATCGAAGGACTGATATGGAAGATTTTTCTGAGTAGAGTCAGTGACTGTCTTTTTAGGTAGGCTACTAACACGCCTACGTCTATTTTCTCGACTCTCCTCGGAGTTTGCAGGGTTGTCGAGGCATGTGAAGGACTTTAACATTTGTGACAGATCCTTACCGATTTCAGAATTTAAATAAATCGCCTTCGGTTGATCTGCATTTTTGACAAGATCAACGACGACCCTTTCCCTCATTAATAGCGTCTAACACCCTACCGCTCAAACCAGCACATTTCGTACGGTTCATCCCATCGCAGAGCCAGCATGACACATAGGAGTCGCTCCTAACGTGACAATTAGCGTAAGTACACGACATATTTGAAATGATATCTATGGATATGTTTGTAGGTTTATATAAAATATTAGAAGCAAAAAGGCAAAAAGTTTTGAAAGAGATGTAGCAAAAGAAAACAATCAGTTGGTAAATATTAGCTTAAATTCTATGTAGCGAACAGTTTTAATGCACTATATTTTGACACTTAATAAACACAAAGCAAACAGCTGTGACAAGGATGAAATAGCAGAAATGACAAACAGAGCAAAATAAGTGTGCACAGAC